TTCTTCCCCTTCTCACCTGAATCCACCACGCCTGACCTCTGCTGTGGGTTGGCCGAAACACAAGAGTGAGAGAGATGGAGAGTTGTGGTGCTTGATTGCTTTGGGTGGGGGTTACAAAAATGTTGAGGGAAATGAATGGAGAAGGGGTTTTATTTAAAAGAATTGTTGGAGGAATAATGGAGTATTAAAAGTGGTATTGAGTGGGGGGTTATGGGATAGGAAAGGGTGTGTGGCGTGTGGTTTTTAATTTGGGGAGTTACCTCCCTAAATGCCACTCCGTTGTGTAGAATTTGACCTAAACAGTACGCACTTTCCCCCGAACGGGTCCGAATTGAGATTCGTTTGTATTTCCGGAATCAGACAGTGAAAATGAACTTAATGACATGTTCAAATAATTTTTCTAAGAACTTTATTTTCAAACTTCTGGGTCCACCCCAATCATTAATTAATTTATTTAATTAATGTTGAGAGGTCCGTTATTAAAACATCTTTTTATATTTAAGAAAACACATTAACTTTTTAAGTCCATCTAATGAGATCCAAAATCTCAATATTTATCAATTTAAAATAATGAGTCTCAATAAATAAATAATATTTATTTATTTAAACTAGGCTGGTTTGTAGGGCGTTACAATTATCTCCCCCTTAAAGGAATTTCGTCCCCGAAATTCTCTCCAAGTCGTACCTCACGTGTTTTAGGGAGATACTACGTTACCCAAGACTTTGTTTTGTGAAGCATACGAGGGCATAATAAATTAAAGACTTATTTACGAGTGAGCGTATAACGCAACTAGTGTGACACTTCGATGTGTGCTCACGTGCTCAGGCTCCCCCTGTGGGACAACCTGTCTGTCGTTGCCTACTGCTTGGCTCATTCTCTATGAGAAGAGCTTAAATCAAAACTAATTACAATATGACATATAAAATGAATTAAATAACGATGTACCTTTCCTGGAAGTGATGTGATGGGAGATGCGGCTGTGGACTTTTTGAAGAGAAAATACCTTTTGACCAAATGACAAAATATGTTTTTTTTATTTTTATTTTTTTTTGCACAAAACCGAACTGCTCTGATACCAAATTGTAACACCCGCCTTCCGTGGACCCGGTTCACCCGCGACCCAACGGACCGGTAGGGTTACATGGGCGGTCCGAGAACCGTCCGTAGAGAAAATCGCATTAATGTCTATTTATTATGAAACGGTTGGGTTTAATTGATGGGATATTAATGACTATTCATTATGAAAACGTTTATGTTTAATTGGTGAAATAAATGCTAGGAGTTATTCCCAAAACGTGTGAGTTATAAATGTAGAGTAAAAGCAGAAGTAAATATATAAGTCCAAAATAAGTGAAACGACATATGATGGGTTCATGCCCAAATGATTAATTTATTAAATGTATTTAAATATTGAACTTGTTCGTGCGCCGCCCATCCTCCCACCATCACTGTCCTCCAGGGTTAGCACCCGTACCGTCATGTCTACCTGCGTGTAGCAAAGAAAACAACTACACGCTCAGCAAAAGCTGAGGAGTGAATCTAACAAAAGACCAAGAAGTGATAACCCATATGGTCATACACATATTAATACCTGTACTTAACGTATGGAAAAACACATGTTTACTAACTGTTTAATTTGTACTTGATGTGATATTATTACACATAACAAAATGATATACTACCACATTGAATATGGACATGATGGGGAACATACATGATGATGACAACCACATTCAATGTTGACGTGACATGAACATACAAGATGATGATATGACCTGATGCATGATACCCCTGACTTAGAATCACTTGACAGGATCACCCCTGCACTCCGGTAATGAGTTGGGCTCGACAAAACGTCGCAAGTAAACTAGCAAAACTGGGTGGTAGCCGTAGCCTGACTACCATGTACGTACACAAAGCCCACCTGATGAAAACCTGTTGGATCCCAACGGTTCCTGGACGGGCCCACTGTAGTAAGCGCACGAAAGCCTGACCTCCCTATAGCGGTATGCACATGATGATGAACCTAGGACATACGTCTAGGATGAACATGATGACATGAATGCATTGATTGAAGAAAGAAGTTAAATTTAACGCATACATATGTGTTTGATTACAATTTATTCAACATGATGGCCTTATGTTCAGAACTGGCTGATAACCGATTATTTGTTGGTGATAATCGAATATCAAGCATGGCAGCTTCTGTTCCCAAAGTTCTGCAACCTATGAAAGTAGAATGTCACCTTAGGACAATAGATGTTCCAAGTCCAGAGAGGCATGATAATCGATCATTGCTCTGTGATAATCGTTTGTCAAGTGAACCAGCTCTGACTCAAGAATCCGCAGGGCCTGATAATCGATTACCACTTATGTGATAATCGATTGTCACACTATGCTGGATCAATTGAAGAGTTCAGCGTGACCTGATAGTCGATTATTCTGTTCTGTAAATCGATTATCAAGGCACGCTGATTCCCATTTTGACTGTTTGATTATCATCAATACATTGGGAGTTTTTGAAATGAACGTTTATGATTACATGTTAAGTATTCCATGAATATACGGAGTTTCAAAATGTTTATATTAACGAGTACATAACTTGATAACATGGACACACGTATGCTTGATGGTTAACCTACGAACATGCATAGATTCTACGTAGGTTGCGTACGATATTCCTATAAATATAATGACATAGATTATAACTAAATGTTCTAGAATTAGAGGGACAACTACTCACCTCTATTTGAAGGGGTCAGTGGAATGATGGAACGAGATGAATGAATAACGTCTAAGCTTCTCGTATGAACTTCTCCTCTCTTCTCCCTTCTTCCCCTTCTCACCTGAATCCACCACGCCTGACCTCTGCTGTGGGTTGGCCGAAACACAAGAGTGAGAGAGATGGAGAGTTGTGGTGCTTGATTGCTTTGGGTGGGGGTTACAAAAATGGTGAGGGAAATGAATGGAGAAGGGGTTTTTATTTAAAAGAATTGATGGAGGAATAATGGAGTATTAAAAGTGGTATTGAGTGGGGGGGTTATGGGATAGGAAAGGGTGTGTGGCGTGTGGTTTTTAATTTGGGGAGTTACCTCCCTAAATGCCACTCTGTTGTGTAGAATTTGACCTAAACAGTACACACTTTTTCCCACGAACGGGTCCGAATTGAGATCCGTTTGTGTTTTCGGAATCAGACAGTGAAAATGAACTTAATGACATGTTCAAATAATTTTTCTAAGAACTTTATTTTCAAACTTCCGGGTCCACCCCAATCATTAATTAATTTATTTAATTAATGTTGAGAGGTCCGTTATTAAAACATCTTTTTATATTTAAGAAAACACATTAACTTTTGAAGTCCATCTAATGAGATCCAAAATCTCAATATTTATCAATTTAAAATAATGAGTCTCAATAAATAAATAATATTTATTTATTTAAACTAGGCCGGTTTGTAGGGCGTTACACTTCCCAAGTCAATCAGCCACACGGTTGGCACCAGTGATGCATGCCTAATATTTTCCCTAGGTGTAGATCGGTCCAGGTCCAAATATTAGTATCTCGGCCTTATAATAGTGAGAAAACAATATGAAAATAGTAATGGATCCTAATGGAAGGTACGACTCACAAAATAGGAACTCAAACCAGTGATTACGGGTGGGCACGGATCGGGACGGTCCGATTTTAGGTTGTCCCACGTCTTGTCCCGTTATATATAAACGGTCCAGAACGGTTCGGATTGCAACCTTATCCCGGTTTGTCCTATAAAATTCGGGACCGGAATAAAAGAGACGGATTTGGGTCGTCCTATTTTGTCCTAAATCGCAAACATAAGAAGTGGGAGAGAGTGACATTTCATTCAAAAAAAGAAACATGTAGTCATCCAACAAAAAACAATGAGTAGAACGGGTCTAAATAAATTTCAAACCTATGAAGTTAACTTAATTAAATAACTAATTAATTAAAGAATGAGTGTATTTGGATTTTGGACTAGAATTAGTATTATATATGAGTATAGTAGATGAAACGGGACAAACGGGACGGATCGGTATAAATTTTAGTGGTCTCGCTCATGTCCCATTTGATATTGGGACGGAACGGGTTCGGGATAAAAAATTGTGTCCCAATATATCGGTACAATTACAAAACGGAACAGGGATTTTTCGGAACGGTCCAACAGGAAAGGATTTCATGCCCACCCCTACCAGTGATCATTTCTTCTATTCGGTCCACTTAGGGATCGGAATATGCTCAAGGACCGCCGGAATATGTTTTATTATTACTCAAGTATTTTCTCTCTCTATTACAAGATATCCCTCCTCTCTTAGTTCCTTTTCTCTTTTATAGGCGCTCCCCAGCCACTATCTCATCAAAATATTCACAATGATTGGGAAGGATATTCAGGCCATCCTTACTTTTCCCGGAGGGATGCATCTCAACTTAAAGCCGTCCACTAGAGGACAAATCTGTCCGTCCATCCTTCATTCTATGTCGCTCGTCCGTCCTTTACTGCGTGTCTCCGTCCTCTCTCAAGAGGCGGCTTACCCTAATTTCTTTGTAGGAATCCTTCCTCTTGGGTGGCCTGTTCATCATAATGGGCTGGGGCTCAGCCCATCTTCATGCTTCAATCCTATTGTTTTCCCTATCTCTCCTTACGGACAATTTCTCTTGACCGACCTAGTATATTTTCTCTGGGTCGGATTCTCCTTTTGATGGACGTAATCTAAATTAGGCACATGCCTAATTTGCTGGTATTCTCTCGACGGGCTTGGTTCCCATCACTTAGTTACATTTAATTTTTATTTTATTCTACATTTAAGTTTCTATTGACATATTTATTTGTTCTTTAATTAGAATTTCTATTTTCGTGTTTTGCAAAAAAAAAAAAAATTGACTGCGGGTATGAATTTAGTTTTCAAATAATGAATAACTTCTCAATAATTAATTTATCTTTGTGATTAATTTAGAAAAATATAGAGTTAACAGTTAAATATGATTTTGGGAATTTATGAAATTGAGATTGTGCAAAATCCTAGAGTATTTTTACAGAGTACCTTTTAATTCTCCCGTTGGAATGCTCTAACCAGCTCAAATTTTCAATCATCCACCTACATTCTAAATCACATGATTTACCATATCTGTGTTCCAATCTCAGAAATTTCTTGCATTTGAGATGCCTTCATCTCCCAAGTACTTCACATCCCGCCAACTCACCAACTCCTATTCCCGCAGATCCACGGCTCTGGTCGTGTTTTTCTTCATCGGCCTCACAGGTTTTGTGTTTGGGCTAATCGCTGTTTCGAGGCAAGGATTGGGGCACAGATGTGAATACAAAGAGCCCCGATCGGTCTCTGTAGTCTGGGACAAAAGCGGCGGAGGGGCGATCGGTGGTGATGTAGAGCGGAAGAGACACAAAGTTATGGGCCTTGTCGGTATCCAAACTGGGTTCGGATCAGCTGGCCGCAGGCGGGCTCTCCGCCGGACTTGGTTTCCCTCAGATCGACAGGGGCTCCGGAAGTAATCTTTCATCCCCTTATTTAACTGTAGTTTTATCTTGTGTTTGTCTGTATATTATTTAAGCATCTACTTTTACTCCACCTGTTGAATGAAGTTCTGTGTATTTTTTTCTTAAGATACTTCTCTTTACTTATTTCTGTATACTGCATATGCTCTATTTTGATAGTACAACGCAGAAGAGCACCATTATGAACAATGGCAGTGAGTGCTGGTTGAAACAGTAAATTCTGGAAATTATTTCATTCTCAATGGATATTGGTACACTATATCATAAATAGTTTGGCTCCCTAAAAAAAGTTTGGCGCTCTGCTATGTTTTTACATTTGTTGGGATTTTAACCTTTTGTGGCATTAAATGTGTTCACCTGAATACTTCTCCCTTCTCCCATTTTTATAATCATTTTAGCAGAAGTTTGCAATATAGTGAGATTTTTACTTTTTATGGCATTAAATGTATTCTCCCGAACTTTCCTCCTATTTTTACTCGTAGTATATTCATTTTAGCAGAAGTCTGCATTGTGGAGGGATTTTAACTTTTAATGGCATTAAATGTATTCACCTGAACCATTCTCCCATTTTTTATAATCATTTTAGTAGAAGGCTTGAAATGTGATGGATTAGATGGGGACACATATGTGGCTGTGTTTCTCTATTTTTAATGGAGATTTCTATTAGACATATTATTCCATCTCAATAGAGAATTCATGCTCTTTACTTTGTTCGGTAAAGTTCATCAAATGCTATTGTTGTAGAATAGGCCCACATGCATTGCGTCTTGTTCTTACTTTCTATAAGTTAGCTGCGGGACAACAAAAGGAGAGGGGGATGAATGTCGTGCGGACTAGACTGCTCTCTTTCAGAAGTTTGTCGTAGTGCACGGACAGCGATAGATCTTTGTGTCAGAAATGATAATAATAATAATAATAATATCATCCCAGTCATAAATTTATTGATTGATGCAGTATAATTGTATTGTCTGAAAGTTGTAAACTTTTCCCTCTTTGCTTTTCCAAGCCTCAAGAGGCTTATTCTTCTGCGTGCTTAATTTATTTTGGTACCCCAGGCTGGAAGAATCCACTGGTTTGGCTTTTAGGTTTATCATTGGCAGAACTAGTGACAAATCAAAGATGTCGGAACTTAGAAGCGAGGTTTCACAGTATGATGATTTTGTGTTATTAGACATTGAAGAAGAGTACAGTAAGCTCCCATACAAAACGTTAGTTCTGACTAGTTACTTGTCATATTTCAGAATCTTATGTGATTTTCACTAATCAAAATATCGTTTACAGTTTAGCTTTTTTTAAAGCTGCCTATGCGCTTTTTGATTCAGAGTTTTACGTCAAGGCGGATGATGACATATACTTACGGCCAGGTTTCTATCCTCGCAAAGTTTTATTGGGCTACTTATTAATTTTTTTTTAAAATTGGAGTGTTCCATTGAGGTTCCCTTTTGCTTTCAATCAAGTAACTTTTTACTTTTATTTTGAAATTAACAGATCGCTTGTCTTTACTTTTGGCCAAAGAACGTTCTCACTCACAAACATACCTTGGATGCATGAAAAAGGGCCCAGTTTTCACTGACCCCAAACTCAAATGGTTTGTGAAAAACTGGATATCTGGAATCTATGATCAACATTTGTCTTTATCTAATTGTCACCTATTTCATGTACCATTGATGCAGGTATGAACCATTATCAAAATTGCTTGGAAAGGAGTACTTTTTACATGCTTATGGTCCTATTTATGCTCTTTCTGTGGATGTTGTTTCTAGCCTTGTTGCACTAAGGAACGACAGGTTAGTTTTCCTCGAGTCTAGATTTGGCGTTCAATATCTTATCCTCACCTACATTTATCTCCTTGTCTACAACAACGAATCCTGCAAAATCCCACGAATTATGGTATGGGGAGTTTGAATTTGTGGAGACCTTACCCTTATGTGAAGTAGAGAGTTTGTTTCCAAGAGAACTGCTCAAATTCACAAATTTTTTCCTTTTCTATGATATTGAAACTATAAATGTAAAATCTCTACCATATGAGATTGTGTCATTCTTATTGTAAGTTCATTAAAAAAATTAGGGATACAATGTTTGTGTAAATTGAGTTTCTTATGATCATTGTCAGCATCTCAATCCAACCTATTGCCAATCATATTTCTTTGTAAATTCTCAGTTTCCGAATGTTTAGCAATGAAGATGTTACTATTGGTTCTTGGATGCTTGCAATGAATGTCAACCATGAACATAATCAAGAACTGTGTCAAACGCAGTGTACAACCACATCTATTGCTGTATGGGATATTCCAAAGTGTTCAGGTTAGTATTTTGCATCCCCTTGATTAGAAGTTTAGAGTGCATTTGGCAAAGGAAAGAAATAGGGAGGAAAGAATTGTAGAGGAAAGAAATGGAAAGGAAAGAAGTGGAGTGGAAATTTAAATTCCATTGGTTTGGTTGGAAGGAAGAAGAAGGGAGAGATGTTGAAAACAAGTTACATATTGAAACAAAATTATAATTTTATCCTTCAAAAAATATGTATAGAACAATTTACGAAATATTTTTTACGATATACTCCGTAACAATTTTACATAATAAAAATATTAAATAAATTAAATATCATTGAAAGTATTTTAATCTATTTTAAAATTATTTTTATAAAATTTATTATTTTTTCAAATTATATAAATTAACAAAAAAGCATGGTTGTTAAGTGGACAAGTCGAGTCGAGTCAGTGAAGGGGAGACTAGTGGACTAGTCGACTAGTCAGCCTTCTAGTCATAGACTAGTCGACAAATCACAATTAGTATTGGAATTTTTAACATTATATATATCTTCATTCACCCAAGATAACTATATATATTTATATGACAAAATATCATTACCAAAATAAAATTATGTTTAAAGGTAGAACATAAAGTCACTAAAAAATTAATAAAACTGAAAAATTAAGAGTATACTCCCTCCGTCCAACAATAAAGTTCCCGTTCACTATTCACAGGGTCAAACTTTATTCACTTTGTTGGCCTATTTTGGTGTCTTATATGATAAAATAATATAGTCATGTCACCTCTAGTTTTGTAGATCTTTTCATGTAGTTTTTAAATATGTAATTTTTATTTTTTAATTCAATGCCATTTTTTATATAAAATGATTTGAAAAAAATTTCAGTCAAACATCGTAACGCGCAATGGGAACTTTATTTGTGGACAGAGGGAGTAATATACTTTAATAGTCTAATGAACCAAATTAAAGAAAATTAAATCGAATTAACAGTATACTTTAATGATAAATAATTAAAGATAGAGAGATGTTACTTATGGATAGAGAGCGTGTGAGTACTAGAAGATGAATAAGAATCAATTCCAAAAAATTGATTCTGGAACTGCGAACTCTGGAAGATGTCGATGAAGGAGATGTCGTGATTTGGGAATAGTTAAATGTCGATTCACTGGATTTTGATTGTGCTGATTGAACTGATCGAGGGAGGCTGTGTTTTATTGAGTAATTTTTAAAGTTTGATGAAATTTGGGTCGGGTTGGGTCAAATTGGGTTAGTTCAGACAGGGAAGGTTTTCTTCACATACTAGTCATGGCCTAGGCACGCCTAGGCGTCGCGTAACTCGCCCAGTCACCTAGTCTACCCTAGTCGCTAGTCGACGTGCAAGTCGCCATTTAGAAAACGCCTGGACGACTAGTCGTCGACTAGGTGACGACTTGACAACAATGCAAAAAAGCAAGTGGGATGAGAGAGCTCAAAGCAAAAAGGCAAGTGAGGGAAGCGAGCTCAAAACTAAATTTCCCTTCCATTTCAGTCCACTCGCGGGGGGATTTTTTTCCCACTCTTCCCATGTCCTTCTCATCTCCATCTCAGTTTCCTTACAACCAAACAATGGAAATTCTTCAGTTTCCTTGACCCTCCCCCCCCCGTTCCTCCAAATTTGTAAAGAACAAAAAAGGGTGCTAGGCTTCTCTCCACACCACATATGTTTTCTTTCCAAATTGGCCACTTCCACTACCCTTCCTAGGAACCACCTAGTAACTAGACCTCAACTTGCTTAGCCCACCTAGCATTTTTAGAATATTGCTAGAACGACAACTGTGACCAGAGTGATTATGTGAGATGATTAATATTTGATTATATAAAGTAATCCAAGAATACCATATATGCAATATGCCTATATTCACACACATTATCTAAGGTATATGTTTGCTAATTACTATTGCTCTTCAGATGTTAGGGTTAGGCTAAGCTCATTATGGTGCGGGTATACGATCATCAATAATCAATATTCAGTAATAATTTACATGCACACTACAAAAGCATGTACATTATTTGTTCCAGTGTGTTACAAATGTACTTAAGTCTTGGCCCCCTTAAAGACTTATAATATATGCCAGCTAATTGATCCAAGGTATTGACAAAACATGTAGCAATTGAGAGTTTGAGACCTATATGACCTTCTCTATGTTCTCTCTAATGAAATGGTACTCAACTTCCATTGTTGGTTTGTCACAAACCAATGTCATTTGTCTTAAATGAGGTGTTAGGGATTTATTCTGATTCTTTTTTTAAAAAAAAAATTCAATTTTTTTTGCTGAACAATAAAGCAATTGTGTCAGTATTGTTTGGTTTATGCTCCATGAAATCAAGAATCAATTTGGAGTGTTTGGAAAACCTAGTGTTGCAAACTGATTTCTTTTTGTGTAAAATGAGCAGAAGGGCGTAATGTGTTCATGTTGTAGTAGAAAAGAGTTTTAATATTGAAACTATGTTGATACATAAAGTAAACAAAAGATGAGATTTACAATTTCTTGAAAACATTAGGCCGTTTTCTTTTGGATTGATATTTCAGAGTTAGATGTTGGAAGAAATTGGAAGAAGTTGGAAAATGTTGGAGGAATTTAAGTGTTAAAAAATTACTCAATTAAATGATCACCTAAATAAATATGTAAGAAAACATTAATTTTGGATAAAAAAGAATTCATCATTGTCCGTGTTTGAGATGGTATGTTATACATTTGGATATATAATGTTATTGTATATTCATCATATATAAATGCTTTTTTTATGTTATTGCTGGAAGGAACTAGAAAGAGTTGAAAGAAATTGGAAGGTGTTGGAAAAAGTTAGATATTAATTTTTCCAACCCAAAAGAACAGGGCGTGTTTGAACTACACATCAAAGTTTGATGCTCGTCAAAACTAATATCACCATACTCCATCAATCTTAGCAATAACGTTTGTCAATGCTGTCATACTAAAGTACAGTTTAATCAATGGATACAACATAATCAAACACCAACTAAACACACAAATTAACCAAAGCCATATAATCACAAGCCCATGTTCCCGGAGGACCCAATTGCATGAAACATAGGAGTCACATGCTGTGCACAAAAAGCCCCCAAATAGAATAATTCTTCTTAGACATACAAAAACAACTCATTTCAAGATTTTCAGCAGCATGGCACACAATTTTAAATTATACCCCGGAGCACTACGTAATTTTTTATATTAACCTCGAGTTCATTGTTATCTCACTAACAAGTAACACATGCTTTTCATCTTCTTCATGCCTCTCCTTATCGCCCACCTTCACGCAACCCAGCTTCACTTAGGCTGCTGAATAGTAGCTCATATTAGGAGGTTTTTACTTCTTCTCAGATTACTTTAGGGAGAGAGTGATGATAGTGTGAGAGGGTCACTATGGGAACTGCATACTACACTTGTGAAATTTTGATGTTTTAAAATGAATACAAGAGTACCCCATGTATACACATAATTTAAGGTCTATGGTTGCTATTCATGGTATTTGGTTACTCGAAATAAATGCCTGGTGGTAGATGACCATATTTTGTTCTTTAGGTAGTGAAAGTGTGTTGCTTTTGCATACATATGGATTGCATGTCGATATACACTTCGAAGGCTGCACTAGATGCATTCAAACTAAAGATGGATTTCATCTCAATCTGTTCTACTGCAACTTCCATCAGCATTAGTCAAATTCTTACGTGCCCTTCCATTGTTTTCGGAGCTGATATAAATCTACAACTCTTTTCATACAGGATTATGTAACCCTGAGAAGATGATGCTGGAACTCCATGCAAAAGATATCTGTTCAAAGAGCCCCACTCAACCTACATTTGAAGATGATTAAATCATTCATCAGCTGCCAATAAACTTGCATAGATTCTATGCTGATTGGTAACGGAGACTACTTTTTTAAGAATCTTCTTGTTTCATTCTATTGTATCAAGTCTTCAACGGGATGCTCCCCTCCCTCGTATTCTTCTTCTTTACTGGAAGCATTGTTCTTTGAGTAATTTACCTAAATAGGACTAAAACATAATGACTTTCCCAAAATAGGACCATATGTTTTTATTTCCGAATGTAGGACCTTTGGTCATTATTCTTTAGTCATTATTCAAGTAATGTCTATCATTGCTGGGCATTATTCCTTCCACGAAGACATTATTAAGTCCTATTTAGGGAATAAAAAAGTTTAAGTCCTAGATTAGGAAAGTCATTATGTTTTAGTCCTATTCAGTGCAAATTTCACTTGTTCTTTCTAACACTTTTTTGCTATGTTTACAGTTGCAGAAGTAGAATTGCGTGCATTGGTTTTCCACCCAACACTGACTTGATAGCAGCTTAATGTGGTTCAGGGATACTGGTACAATGATGCACATTTTTTATACAACGTTTGGTCCATTTCGGGATTATATGATATCCGGTGATTTCTAGAGGATTTTGGCAGGCCATAGATGAGGATTTAGGTAAACAGAAAGATTATAAGTTGTGGATGTGCTAAAAATTGGTGTTCTGGTGGTCATTTGTGGGAGACTATTATGTGCCTTGTAAGTTATAATACACAGTAACGCAGCGGTAATGTAATACACAGCACGTCTTAGACTCTTAGGTCTAATAGCTATACTGCTATTTTTCAATTATCGTCTTTTTTTTTCTGATATACAAGTTCAATGTGGCTTTTGTAGATGACCTAATTCCTCTTATTTTCTTCACACTATAATTAACTTAAAATTATACGGAGTACGTAATCTTTATTTTAACATTTTTCATTTTTATACCAATTTTCAATTCCTTCAAGTTTCTTTTATTCCCTTTCGATTACATTAGTTTTTAAAACTACCTTTAACAATTAGTAAAAAAAAACTACGAAATAAAAATAGAAATATTTGCACTAAATAGCACTAAAACTTAAGTCATTTCTCTAAATAGCACTTAAATTGTTTTATTCCCTAAATAGCACTTAATAATGTCTATAGTGACCAGTGATGGCAAACATTTACTTGAATAATGACTAATGTATAATGACTAAAAGTGCTACATTGGGGAAAAAACACATGTAGTGCTATTTAGAGAAAGTCATTATGTTTTAGTGCTATTTACGTAAATTTCTCATAAAAATATACTCGGGTATATGATTGAGGTTTATTTTTTAAAAAAATCATATTCTGTTTATTGTTTTGAAATTGATTTTTTTGGGAACATATGAAAAAGAAAGAGAAAAGAGGAACCCATGCGCCTCTACGCCTCGGCCCGATCTCTAGTCAAAATTATGAGGGGGTGAAACATGGTACTCTCAGTGGCGGATTCAGGAACTCAAGTAGATGGGGGCAGTTGGTTGGGAGTCCGGGGGTGATGCCCCCGAAATATATGAGATGACAAACAAATATTAGATTTTATTTCAACCATTTATTGAATATAAAACATTTATTAATAGGTAATGTAAAATTTTATTTCATAAACAATTAATTATGTGTAATAAAATACACTTCACTAAAAAAATTAATAAAAATATTTAATTTAGCTTGATTAAATGGGATCACATTAATTTTTGTTGGGGGCATATGTACATAAAAATAAAAATTTAAAAAAACTTTTACCTTATAACAAAAATTAGTAGGGGGCATATGCCCCCAACTCCAATAAGGTGCGTCCGCCACTGGGTACTCTATTATTCTAATTTAAATTGTCTGTTTCGATATACTCCCTCCGTCCATAAAAGAACTTCCCACTTTCCTATTTGGGATGTCCACAAATAAACTTCCCATTTCTATTTTAGGAAAGTTTTTAGGAAGGAAATGTCCTTCCTACCCTTGTCCCATTTTATCCTGTTTTCTCTCCTTCATTTTTTCTTTCTTCTTCTTCCTTCTTTCTTCTTCTTTCGTGCTTTACTTTCTTCATTTATCTTTCTTTTTCTTCTCTCTTTCTTATTCTTCTTTCTTCTTCGGTTTTGATTGTTTTTCACTTTTCTCTTTCTTCTTCCTCCTTCTTCTTCCTTTTTCTTCTTCGTCTTTATTCTTCATTTTTTTCTGTTTCTTCTCCCTTATTTTTCTTTCTTCTCCCGTCAACAATATCTAACGGATTGCAGCTTCTTCATCTTCTTCCCTCTATGACGATATTGGATTGCATCTTTCGCCGGAAATAGATTGCATCTAGATCTGACCAGATCTCTAGATCTAACCAGATCTCTAGATCTGGTCAGCGGGCAGCGGCAGCGGGGGGCTTTGGACGGCGAGGGGCAGCGGCGGCGGGGACTTTTGAAGGCGAGGTTGCAGCGGCGGCGGGGGGCTTTTGACAGTGAGGANGGGGTGTAGTTGTCAGTGGGGGGAGAGGGCTAAAAGCTTGAGGGGTATAATAGGAAAGTCAAACCAATTTTCATCCCACATAAATTTGCGTGCCGAGTCAAACTGGGAAGTTCTTTTATGGACGGAGGGAGTATGATATTTAGCTAAAGTCATTTTCAGATTATTTATATAAAAAATATAGTAAAATTAAGAAACAAAAATTATGTATTAATACATCAAAAGATCTACAAAGATAGTAATGACATGGCTATATAATTTTATCAAATGACTAAAGAAAAATAGGAAAATAAATTTGACCTTGTGAATAATAAATATGTAATTTAATTTGAAAGAGATGCATCATTATTTTAACAGTTTAGCCTGGTTATTCGAGAGAGAAAAATAAAAAAATCAACGCATAATGAGCTCCATTATTTATTCTCAAAAAATGTTAATAATATCAATATATAATATCAAAAAATATTTTGTAATACAATGTATAGTCATATTATCATAGACCCGACCCGACCAATTAGGCTCGTCCCAAAAAAATGCGAGCTTTGGCTTGAATTTTAGCATTCGGCCCGGCTTGGCCTGTAAATTTCGGGTACCCGCAAGTGTTGTGGCCGGGTATGGGTTGTGTTTTTAAAGCCCACAGCGCCCCGGCCTAATCCCTATAAATAATTAATACAAAAAAAGTACTCCGTATATAAATAATACAAAATTGTCGGAGTTGTATAAAATATATGCCCTTTTATACGAAGTATGATTACTTAAAGAAATATACATTCATTAGTCACTTTTTGCTCATGTGTTTACTAAAATTTTAGTGCAAAGTATGTACTCTAGTTTATATACTCCGTGATTTATATACACCGTATCATTTTTTTGTTTGTAAAATTTACACACCGAATATATTACTCCGTAACATTTAAAATTTGTATTTTTTTCAAAATAGTGTTAAAAAAGTTTTTTTTATGTTCATAATTTATTATAATGCGGGCCGGCCGGCCTGAAACCCGTGCATATTCACGTGACCCGGGCTCAGGTTTCATTTTTAGGTCCAATATGCGGGACGGGTTGGGCTTGGGCCATAGAAACTCTTATAATGTATCCTCTCGGCCAGGCCCGAAACCCAGCCAAGCGCGAATATTGATCAGGTCTACATTATCATAAAGGATATTCCTATTTTGATAATAAAAGTATGTCCCTTCTATATTCTTATTTTGGCAATAAAAGCTTTAAATAAGATTGAGAAAAGGAATGCCCACGCATGCACCTCTACAGCCCAATCTGACCTCTGCACCCTGGTTCGATTGAGTTATGAGGGAAAAATCACGATATTATTTTAATCGTTTATCCTGTTTATTTGAGAGAAAAAAATAAAAAAAATTAATGCATAATGAGTTCATTTAAAAAAGAATAAATCCTATAATTGATTCTTTAAAATTATTGGTTTTTCATATTTAATTTTATACTCAGTATTATCAAATATTACGTTTGTGTTCCTTTGTTTATGAGTATATTTCTATTGATAATATTTTATTTTACCTTTTGCCATGAGTATCTTTATATAAATAGTCCTTTATTTTACCATTTGCCGACACATCCGGCCAGATGTGCGATACGTGTTCGCATGAATATTCATTGTCGAGTAACTAAGTATTCATTTTCGAGTAATAGAATATTCAATTGGTTTTCAAGTAACTGAATGCTCTTTTTCAAGCATAACTCAATTTCAGAGAAATGAGTATTTAGTTAGTCGAGAATGAGTATTCACTTGCGCGAAAAATAGTATTCAGTTACTCATGAATGAAAGTTCATTGTGAATGTACGGGAATCACCGTACAACTGATTGTATAATATATATTGTGTTCGCCACATTGGTGTTAAAGTGAGTGCTAAAAATGTAATTTTACATGGGCCATGCATATTCTTACCATAGTAATTACTGGAAGTTGCTGTTGATGTGTTGGTTGTTTGCTCGATTCATCGCCCACTGCAACCATAGTCTACAAATATAATTGTTGGCCGGAATTCAAGGCCGCAAGCATTATTATTATTATTATTATTATTATTATTATTATTATTATTATTATTATTATTATTATTATTATTATTATTATTATTTTATTATTATTATTATTATTATTATTATTATTATTATTATTCTTGTTGTTGTTGTTGTTGTTGGGAACCAATGTCATGGGATGACCCGAGGGCACTCCGGTGCCCCGTTCGTAAAATTGACGGTTCCTACCCCAAAGTCAAAATCGACTTGTGGGGTGCAATTGAAGGGGGTGGGGGTGCATTCGGGGTGGGGGGTTTACCGGGGGGTTAGGGGGGCAGGAACCGTCAATTTTACGAACGGGGCACCGGAGTGCCCTCGGATCATCGCATGACATTGGGAACCAATATCATGGGAACCAAAGTGTTGTTATTAATTATTATTGTGTTGTCCAAAATGGAGACACTAGAATTCATAGCAAGATCTAGGGTCGATGTAAAATTATATATTTAGCTTTCAAATTAATACAAACATGATATAAATTAAACAAAGGATTATTCGTTGAAAAATAGCATAAATAAAGGATCACATACATTTTAATTAAAAATAGAAGACTAAGTATTGAAACCCCTAATTTCAAAAGGAAAGAGACTAAACTATAAAAGAAGCATAGAGAAATTATAAAAATAGGAGTTCCATTTTTTTTCAATTCTTATTGTTTTTTTTCATTGTTGAAAGACACAAGTTCAATGTGGCTTTTGTAGATGACCTAATGTTTCTTATTTTTCTTCAAACATGTTAACCTTAAAACATACAGAGTTATATTTAGGAAAAATTATCTCAAATAATCTCATTTTTTCATGTTCGTCCAAAAATAATCCTACTTTTCACGGTCACCTGAAATAATTCCATCTTTCACCGTGTGTGTCAGTTTTCGGTCACCGTTAAAAAATTAAAGGTCACTTAACGAACTTTTTAAAAAATGTCTCTTTTTCACTAAATAAATGAAAGTTGGGATTATTTTAGGTAAATTCTCTTTTTTTAATTTATAACTAAAATTTAAAATCGATAATCCATAATCCGGTAGTAATTAAAAAATAAATTTTAGGTCTTTGTTTTTTCAATAATCTATAATCTAGTAATAATTAAAAAATAAATTATTATACCCAATAGAGTTAATTTATTTACTTCATAACTCACTAGATTTTTTGTAAGTTGCAATTATATTTCTTGAGCGGCACTTTGAATTGTTTTTTGATACCATATTATTATTATTTCTTAAAAACTGGTAGTACAAAACTTGTAACTATTTTTCGATAATTCTATATAAATATATTTTGCAAAACAACATTACAATAATTGTAAAAATAACACAACAATTTTTCTCTGAAATGGAACTTTTATTTTTATAAATCACTACATTTTCTATTGTATTATAATTTTTTGATGAACAACACTTTGAAAAATTTATTAATAATATATTCTTCTATTGGTGGGGTTCTAGTGACACTGATAATATTTTGCCTATATTATTTTTTTCTAAAAGGGAACTATCTAAATTGTGATTTTTTGATAATTCTGTACAAATTTTTCCCCAAAATAGTATGGAGTAATTCAAAAGTTGTGAAAATGGCACAATATTATTTTTCTCCGAAACGGCACTTAATAAATTTCATAACTCACTACAACTTTTTTGTATTGCAATTTCTTTCTTGGTCCATATTGTGAATTATTTTTGATAGTTCAATATTATATTTTCCGAAACAGAAACAAAATTTGTAAATCGTTAGAAAATTCTCTAACAAGGGTGTATTGTTATATTTTTTTAAAAAATATGAATTTTAAATTTAGAATTAATAAAAAGGAAAAAATAAATTTGACTAAATAAAACAATATCACCTTTCATTTACTTGCGAAAAATACACATTTTCTTAAATATCCATTAAGTGGCAGTTAGTTTTTTAACGGTTACCAAAACTCGCACACATGTGGAATGGTTAGGTTATTTTCGGTGACAATGAAACATTGGATTATTTTTTAAAAAGCACGAAAAAGTGAGATTATTTGAGATAATTTTTCCTAATATTTATTTCAACAACCTTCATTTTTTAAAACAATTTTCAAATCCTTCGAGTTTCTTTCCATCCCTTTCAAATCTTTCCATTATTTAACTTTTTTTAATTGTCTTTAAAAATTTATTAAAATTAAGAAATAAAAAACGGATATGATTGAAGTGTGTCTTTAAAATTGATTCTTTTTTGGGAACAAATGAAAAAAAAAAGATCGGGAAGAGGAATGCCCACGTGTGCGCCTCTTCACCGTGGTTCGACCTCTGGGTGATTTCCTAAAAAGGGAAATTTTTTGGGAGAAATTACACTAGAGGGAAGCATTCTTACTTGAAATTCTCAGTTGCAAAGAACGGTACGGTATCTCAAATATCAACCAATTATTTTTTGTTTTTGGGTTTTAGAATCCTGATTATTTAAAATATAATAATTTTGGTAATTTTCGTGGGCAATTAAAGAACCGTATCTCAAATACTCATTTTTTTTGTTTTTTATTTTTTGAGTTTTAGAATCCTTATAATTTCAAATAATATAAATAATTACCAATTTTGCATGGGAGGTGCGTCACAAATACTCCATTAATATAAACATTTAAAATCTAAAAAAATTAAAGAAAAGTTAAATTTTTTCATAAATAAAAAGATAATGAAAGAATTATTTTATTGAACAAGATACATCCAACAAAAATACCAATAAAGTTACATTTATTGTGCTAGATGTATAAATTCATCCTCCTATAATCGTTCTTCGATCCATCTCACCAACGTATTGATTACGCTTACATCTTTCTGAACGTGGAACCTCTCCCTCCGGCATTATTGGCAGATTGATACGAAAGTCATCAATATCTGAACTGGGTTGAAAAATAACTACTTGAATCACTCTACTATAACGCTGTAGATTATTTTGAACACAGTATACCTGTGGTATGAGACTATCAACAACTTGACGTTTAGAGTAGAAACAGCATTAACATGAACACATGGGATTGCATCGGAAGACAATCGGCCATAAGTGCAAACTCTATTTTCGAGACCCACCATGTAGCTATAGATAGATGATGGATGTATTCGAGAAGTATGACTAGTAACATATTGGTTGTTGCCGTAGTTTGCAATAACCCACTTTTGTTTTGTTTGCTCATAACTTCGTAAGATGTTTGTAACTTTCGGAGTGATACGAAGGTTTTTTTGTTGCCAATAATCAAGAGTAATCTTGTACCGTTTTGCAAAAGATTCAACCATTTTCATATAAGACATACTCAAAATGGCAGTGACTGGTAACATCCGACAACTTTTAAGCATATTATTAAAACTCTCTGAATTCTTGGTTGTCAGAATCCCACATCTAAAACCACCATCATAAGATAGAGCCCACGCTTCACGTGAAATATCATTCAAGTAGAGATATGCCTCTTCACTAATGATCCATATTTCTCTCATATATCCTCGAAATTCTTGGATATTAGGTGCGCTCCCACACACCAGACGTTTGAGATCCGAGTTACGGAATTTTGCATGAAGTTACGAAATTTTATTGAATCTTCACCTCGGGACGGATAGGACAAGTGTGACCAAGCCCATAATTGAAATAGAAGCAAGCACCCTCCCGGTCGAGTTCGGGCGTTAGTCCGTAGTGTCGTGCGGCATAAACTACTGTAAGGCGATGCCAAAATACCTGATCCCCAACTATATTGAGAAGTCCAATCAAAATCGTCTAGGAACAATGCAAAGTTAGTGGGTGCAAATCTTTTAGATGTGTCTGAAAAAAAAGACCACCTAAATACCAATATATAACTTTAGCAGTATATTGTTGGGCACGAATATCATTCCACTAGCATTTGGTTGCAACCCACGGTTCAACAAAAGAAACTTCAATTGGTCTGGATGTCCAAAATGTGCTGCATTTGGCTCCCAACCTAGATTGTTACGAAAACTCGCATCGCTTTCTTCGAGAGTCATGGGTGGCGCACCAATAATAGGAATTCCATCAACTGGCAAACCCATAAGAAACTCTAAATCTTGTAAAGTTTTACCCATTTCTCCATATGGGAAATGAAATGCATGTACCTCGGGCCTCCAACACTCCATCAATGCAGTGATGAGGCCATGATCTAATTTAATGTGATGAACTCAGTGTATCCCATAAAAGCCAGCTCTACGTAGATTATAAATAACCATCGGGTCTATGAAATTTGTAAGGATATGGCCATCATACCGACACGTATCTACTTTTGCATCAATATATGTCGGGTCATTCCAAATACGGAGAGAATGATGAGCCGCTTGTAAATATAATATTTCTAAACTTTTTGGTCCAACGAGAAGTGAGATCTCTTTCCATTTCATCCATTACACTAATACATAAAAAAAATTCATTTGTTAAATTAAAAATAACTACATCCTTCCACTTCGTTCATTACTATCTCCGTCCCAAGATAAAACTTTGAGCTCTGATTACTTTTAATTTGTGTTGTATATTAGCATAACAAAATACTACTTCTGTCAATATTTTTACTTGGTCATATTGCGAATGATTTTTTGACAAAACATTTAAGACTGAGAAAGTATGAAACAAATACTAATTACATACATAGTCTCTTTGTCCCCAATTTGGTTACAAATTGGAGTTTACGAAGAAAAAATTTTCACTCTTTGAAATCATTTTATTTGCAAATCAATATATCAATAAGAAATAAAAATACATATTAAAAAACTACGTCAAAAGTTCTACAAAAGAACAAGTGACAAGAGTATTTTATTTTATCAAATACTTAATGAAATTACGTAAATAAACAAAAGTTATCCAGACGAGAGAGAGAGAGAAAAAATTGTAATCAAAATGGGAACGGAGAAGTATTTTGTAATTAAATAGCCAATGAAACAAAAAAAGACAAATAAAGCATTACATACCTTCCAAAAAAGAAGATTTTCTTAGACTCTTTTGAAATTTTAAACCTTTTAATCTAATACTCTTTCTGTCCCATTTTAAATTTTCTGTTTCTCTTTTTTCTCCGTCCCAAAATAAGTTGTCTGTTTCTTGTTATCGTAAACTTTTAAGAGTAAAATACCTAAACTACCTCTAAAATAAATCACTCTTCTCCACCTTATCTTCTCATTCATCGTCACCTCTTTTAAGAAGTAATGACAATTTCAGAAAATCAATTCAATTTTTTCTTTTTCTGAAATATGCCCCAAAGTCAAAATGGACGATTTAAAATGGGATGGAGGGAGTAGAAGATTTTTTGGCTATATTCTCATACATACAGAGTATAGAAAATGTTAAAGAGAGAACACTATATAAAAGGTAATTGATGCACATCCATGGAGTGGAGAGTTGGAATTCAATGCTCCACATCCACCCCACCACCCCCATAAAGCAACCTGCAAAGTTTTAATTTTTAAAAAAAATTGAGATTTCAAATCCCATTTTTTACTTTTTTTAGGTCCTATTTTATTTTTATTTTTTAGTACTCCGTATTATTTACTCCGTATTTGTTATCGGGAGTCAACTTTTGTCTCCTGCATGAAACTACCCAGTATATATCCTCTGTTCAAAGTGTTTTTCCGTATCTACAAAACCCTCTGTATGATGTGGTCTATTAATATCCATTTAAAATTTCAAACTCCCTCATAATTCATAATTTATAGTGTCTGTTTCGATTTATGACATTTAACTGAAATTACTTTCAAATCATTTTATATGACAAATGTCAAATGATATAGAGTTTAAAAAATAAAAATTACATATTAAAATATTGCATCAAAAAATCTACATAATTAATAGTAACAATAATACTTTATTTTATCAAATTGCAACGAAAATAGAAAAAGAAAGTAAATAAAATTTGACCATGTAAATAGTGAAAAGATACATTAACACAGGAAATCATAAATTCCATACTTTCATATGTTTAGTACTATATTTTAGATCGATTGTGTTCTCATATGATTTTCACACGTTTGAGAGCCCAATCTTACGCCCAATTTCTATCCAACCAACAATCAATATATATATTCAAACCAGAATCAATTTCTGGACAAGGACACATCATCATCCCAAACTGAATGGGACATCATAGGACATCATGTCCCAGACCGTTTCACCCCTTTTAACAAATCAAAACTGGGATCAAAATGTACCATTAATCCCTTTTGGTGAGGGGTATATCACTAAAGTTTAGGGGTGGGAAGGTTTCTTCAACTCTGGAACTGATGGAAAAGCACCAATCGACTACTCAGTTAAATAATAAAAAGTACGTAGTAGCACACAAAACATACTACAAATCAGGTGCAATGTTAAAAAAACACAGTAAATAAAAGTGGCTATTAGAAATTTAGAATAGCAATTTAATTTAAGTCAAGTAGCAGGCCTCTGATCTCTGTCAATATATTGCACAGCTTGTTCATCCACACTTTCATTTTCCTATTCTTCTGAGTAACTTGTATAGGCCGAAGATATTCCTCTGCTGCCAACGATATGGAACAAAGAATGATCGGTACAAAGGTGGCGATAGCTCCCGGTCCAAATAAGGAAATGCCGCAACAACCTGAAAGCCAAATATATCATTTTTTTAACACACAAAAAAAAACACATATCATGTTGAAACAGCAAGTGCAGTACAAGAGGATGAAATTGTGAAGGCAAGTTAGTCAGGACCTCCCATTTTGTAGAATTGCTTCCTCGAGTCAAATAAGGCCTTTGCAACTGCAACTCTATTAGGAAGGTACACTCTTCAAGGTTAGTGAGCTGCAATGGCATTTCCCAATGATTAGGTCAATCCCAATATAATGCTTCATAGTAGAAAGTTTTATAAATAATGTGATATTGTGTTGTCCAGATTTACATTTAACAAGGAATGGGGAAAAAAAAGTGAAGCATGCAATGCTCTCCTTGTAGGGAAAGTCCAATGTTTTGTGTCAATCTAAAAAAAGGAAATAGTGAAGTGCATTGTGGTATGGAGAAAATATTTGTCAGGGAGAACAAATTTAACAGAAAAACCACATGACATAGCACGTCAGGAACAACATAAGGAAACTGAAAGGTACTTGTTCAGTCCTAGAAATGATATTCCCGTGTGAAATGTAGGTAAACTTTATGCTAGATGGTTATTTGACAAATTAGGTGATGGTTATTTATTACGGAATATTGAAATGTAGGGTAAACTTACTTTATGCTACATAGCGCAGTACACATTTTCACAAACGTTAATGTGAAGATGATTTTGTGATAGCCAAAAATGACAAGTAGGAAGATGATTTCGGAACACAGAATTAATGACAACAATATAGAACAATGAATAGTACAAATGAGGGCAGCAATAGGGAATGCGGGATTACATATTGGTCATCCGAGGCCTTGTTCTTATTGTTAAAATAGGATGGTGCTGCAGAGGTCCCGCCCAAACTAGAATTAAATGGGAATGGAAGGAGGCCCTTGAACCCATCATCCAACCATCGAACATTACCTACATAACTCGGAACCAAAAAGGATGTCGGGAAGCAATGCCACTCACTTCCAACACAAAGGGTTGCCCCTGAATTACAAAGGGCAATGGTTGCCACTTGTTAGTGATTACACAGCTGACATTCAAAACATCACAGGAAGAGTTTGTAAATCATGATAATCACGAAGAGTTTGTAGATCATGGTACTTCCGGAGATCCTACCTGCTCCAACATCATCATGATAATCTAAATGTTTGTAAATCTCTAAAGGAGCAGAATAACCATTTATCAGAGAGAATGTCCTAGCATGGGAGGCACATAAAATAAGGCCAAGAGCCACAGGTCTGAGAAACTTTGCGACCTGTCAAAAGAAAAACTAGTATTTTTATCTCCATCACAGATTGAGCAAGCACTAGTTTAAGATACAACATATAGGGACGAGATTTTACCGCAACAAGCACATTAGGGTCATAAGGATTATACTTATCGTGAAATAAGTCAGGAAAGCACTCAATTACAGCTGAAGCGGCAATGCAAATAAGTGGATAAATTGGGTATAAGAACCTGCAAAGGCAGCAACAAACAACTCCTTTTTTCATATTTCACTTCGTAACTTTAATACAGAATATAAATTAGCATAACAACAGAAACATTAACATATTAGCAACAAAACTTCATTTCTGGTGTAATTGCATAAAAAAGATTACTCCCTCCTTCCTACATATTTTCTTCTCATTTGACTTTTTCTTAGCAAAGTATGTAAACTTTAACCACACTATGTAGAAAATATAAGTTGAGTTATTATATAAACTTTATATCATTAGTTACTATTTTTTTGAAATATAATTTAAAATATCATTTTTTATAATATTTATTTATGTAGTGTAGGAGGGTCGCAGAGGGGTAGTGTAGCGTCACATGTGCATTTCGGTTCATGGAACATAGGGACCCTAACAGGTAAGTCAATTGAGTTGGTGCAAGTTCTCAAGAGGAAAAGAATCCAGGTGGCATGCGTGCAAGAAACCAGGTGGGTGGGCACTAAGGCGCGAGAGGTTGATGGTTTCAAACTGTGGTATTCAGGTTTAGCTAGGGGAAGGAATGGAGTTGGCATTCTGGTGGCGCCGGAGCTGCGAGAGTTTGTGGTGGAGGTGAAGAGGATTAGTGATCGTCTGATGTTTATCAAGTTGGTTTTGGGTGGGGGTGCGATCAATGTCGTGAGTGCTTACGCCCCACATGTTGGCTTGGCAGACGAAGTAAAGAGGAAGTTTTGGGACGCCTTAGATGGGATGGTTGTTGGTTTTCCACTGACTGAGAAAGTCATCATTGGAGGCGACTTCAATGGCCATATTGGAGAATCGGCTGAGGGCTTCGAGGACGTGCACGGTGGTTTTGGCCTTGGCAGCAGAACCGGGAGTTTCACTCTTGGAGTTTGCCAGAGCGAGTGATATGGTGGTTGCTAACTCTTGTTTCCCTAAACGAGACGACCATTTGGCTACATTTGTTAGTGGAGTGGGGACGACACACATCGACTATCTTCTCCTGCGCAGGTGTGATCGGGTGCTCTGCAAAGATGCTAAAGTAATTCCGAGTGAGAACATCACTACCTAACACAAGCTTCTGGTGATGGATGTCATGATCAGGTGGGTGAAACATAGGAGAGCTTCGAGTGGCAACACACAAATCCGGTGGAGGAGACTAAGTGGGGAGAATATCTCTGAGTTGATCAGGCGAGTGCAGGAGAAAGGTGCGTGGGAATCGACCGGAGAGGCTACTGATATGTGGTTGTGGGCGGAGACTGCTAACTGCATCAGGGAAACAGCCAGGGAAGTGTTAGGTTTGAGCTCTGGCTCTAAGAGTAGGCGTCAGGGTGATTGGTGGTGGAACGATTCAGTTCGAAGTAAGGTGGAAGCTTAGAAGGTGGCGTATTTGAGGTACATTGGCTGCAATGTTGAGGAGGAAAGAGCGGTGTTACGAGTGGAGTACAAGAAGGCACGTAAAGAGGCTAAGTTAGAGGTGACGAGGGCAAAGAATACCGCATTTGAACGCCTCTACAAGGATATTGAGGAGAAAGGCAGTGTTAATCCACTGTTCCGGCTTGCTAAGGTGCGTGAGAGGAAGGCCCGAGATCTGGATCACGTGAGATGCGTGAAGGACAGCGATGGTAGTGTGCTAGTTGAGACTACCAAGGTGGCTAAGCGCTGGGGGAGTACTTTAGTGAACTCTTAAATGCGGTGAGTTGGGCAGTCCGGGGCGTATCGTGTGTATTGCCGGCGCATTTGCCAGAAAGAGGTGGTTCGGGCTCTCCGCGGGATGCGTAGTGGGAGAGCTCTGGGGCCAGATGAGATTCCGGTGGAGTTTTGGAAGCATGCGGGTCATGGTCCGAGGGTTTGGTTAACTAAACTCTTCAATGTTATCCTCTGGACAGCAAGGATGCCTGATGAGTGGAGGGAGAGTCTCTTGGTCCCTCTATTTAAAGGCAAAAGAGACATTCATAGCTGCGGAATTACAGAGGCATCAAACTGCTTAGCCACACCATGAAGGTGTGGGAGTGAGTCATTGAGTATAGGGTGCGGAAAGGTGTTTGCATCTCTGAGAACCAGTTTGGTTTCATGCCTGGCAGATCGACTACAGAGGCCATTCATCTCGTGAGGAGGTTAATGGAAGAGTATAGGACTAAGAAGAAGGACCTCCATATGGTTTTTATTGACCTTGAGAAGGCGTACGATAGGGTGCCAAGGGAGGTCATATGGAGGTGCCTTGAGACGAGAGGAGTTCCTATCGTGTACACTCGCGCGATCAAGGATATGTACGATGGGGCTATAACCAGGGTAAGGACTTCCGGTGGCGATTCTGAGTCTTTCTCGCTAGGGATGGGGTTGCCTAGGTGATGGACGTCCTGACTCAAGATGTTCAAGGAGGGGTCCCATGGTGCATGCTATTTGCGGATGATATTGTGCTTATCGACGACACGCGTGAGGGACTAAACGATAAGTTGGAACTATGGCGCCTTGCCCTTGAGACTAAAGGATTCAGAATAGTAGGAACAAGACTGAATACCTGGAATGTCGTTTCAGCGGCCAGAAAACAGAATCAGAAGTGGAAGTTAGGATTGACTCTCACCTAGTACCTAAGGTAGTCAGGTTCTGATATCTTGGCTCGGTAATCCAGGCTGATGGGGAGTTAGATGGGGATGTTGGACATCGTGTTGGAGTGGTTTGGGCCAAATGGCGGTTAGCTTCAGGGGTGTTGTGTGATCCGAAGATTTCGCCCATGATGAAAGGTAAGTTCTATCGATCCATAGTCAGACCTGCTATGTTTTATGGGGCAGAGTGTTGGGCGGTTAAGAAGACTCATATGCGTCGTCTGCATGCGGAGGAGATGCGGATGTTACGATGGATGTGTGGGAAGACAAGGTTGGATAGGATTTCGAATGAAGTTATCTGACGTCAGGTGGGCATGGCGCCGGTGGAAGATAAGTTGCAGGAAGCGAGGTTGAGATGGTTTGGTCATGTGAGACGGCGGGATGCTGACGCCCGTGTACGGAGATGCGAGAGGATTACGATTATCGAGGAAAGTAGGGGAAGGGGTAGACCTAAGAAGAATTGGAGGGAGGTGATTAGGGAGGATTTAGGAATCCTCACCCTGACTGAGGATATGGCCTTAGATAGGAACCTTTGGAGAACTAGGATTAGAGTAGCTAGATAGGAGCTCGGTGCTGTAGAGGTTGTTTGTAGTATGTTGTGTTTGTTTGGAATCTTTTGCTATTGCTTGTACTTGTTGCTTGTACTTGGCTTTTTACCGGTGTTATACTGTGTGCCCTTCCATATTTTTGTGCAGGTTGAGCCGGGGGTCTCTTGGAAACAGCCTCCCTACTCCTGAGTAGGGGCAAGCTCTACGTACACACACCCTCCCCAGACCCTACTGTAGTGGGATTCAACTGGGTTGTTGTTGTTGTTGTATAAATATAAACAATAATGGTTAAAATGTTGCACTCAAGCACGTGAGAAGTCAAATGAGAAGGAAGTTCTAGGATGGAGAAAGTACATATTGTGGAATGAACGTGGTGCGCTGAGGGATACATGATATAAATTGCCATGTAATGCAAAGCATTTTTTAACAAATTGTTGCTTCTACAAGGTAAAGGTATAGTTGCAACTATCCATATAAGTCCTACAAAGGCAAAGTGGCAATTATTGTTTGGCACCAAGGCAAAGTGGTAAATATACAAAATGAAATAAAGCATTAAATTCTTGATAATCCCATTAAGGAAAACAAGAGATACTGAAGTAGGCGTTAACGAAACATACACACACAAAAAAACCATGGAGGAGCTAATACAGGGAAGCACTAGGAATATAAATAACCTAACCTTTCTTCTTTGTGTGGCTGTAAAGACATGAAAGCAAGCCAGATATATACAGGCGAAACGACAACCAGCAACTCAAGGTTATACTTCTTTTTAGCAAAGGGAAATATGCCAATGAATATTAGAGCAAGAACAAAGCCAATGTTGAAATTATTAAAACAATTTTTCAGGTAAAATAATGGCCCTTCAGTTCCGTACAGATGACTTTCACCACCCCCGAGGACATTGTAGAGCAATAAATTCACTACAGATGACGTCCACGTTTTGTAGTAAAATTGGTCAACAATTACCGAGAGAGCCTGAGATAACATTAAGAAGTGTTATTCTGTGTACTGTGGAGTAAGCAGCAAGGTGAACTTTTCTCGGGCAAAAATATTTAAAGCTGATGGGAAGAAAAAGAGTATGGACTATGGACTGAAACATAGAACAAAAGTGTGGTGAATAGAGACTCCAATCAAAGCAAACATTCCCCAAAACTTACCATAACGACAATAGAAGTGATAATCCCACTAAGAAAAGCTTGTCTGAATCTTACAATCAACGAGTATATTGTGATTGGCAGAAATGCTAAAATTGAAAAAGGCCAGCCGAGAATAACTCCAGTGGCTGCCACAGCAACACTCATTGCAGGCTTTTCAAAAAGAAATAATGCTGATGAAAGGGACATGGCATACATAGAGAATGAACTAGGAAGGAAACCTGTGCATAGACACAAACAGCCTGAATTAGTTCAATATGAAAGAAAAGAGTGATAAGATATATTGAACAATAAAAAGCAACTATAAATGACACTTGTAGAAAGGTAGCTACTTGTGCTAGCAAAGAAGCAACCGCTGGTTAAGCATAGCATGGCAAGTGTATATGAAGCCAGACGTTTTCCATACTTCCGGGAAAGGGCCACAACAAGAGCAGCCTCTGTGATGACAGATAAAAGGCCAAGAAAGATTCTTACAGTGTAAAATACACTTACCTGAACAATCAGAAAAGATTAGGAAAAAAACAAAACACTATACTCTGTATATTAGAAAAATAATAAAAACTGTAACTCACTTTCTCCTCGCCGAACCACCAGGAAGCCGGTAGACCTACTATATAGTGAAAAAGAATGTAGAGATACGACCTTAATGCAAACTGCGAACTGCAAAAGATACGTAATATGAACGAAGTAATGTACAATCCATTACAATTTGGATTATGATGACCAAAGCATTATAAACCATACACTCCCATCTCAAAGTAAGGTTCCACATTGGAATCGTCATGGTTATTAAGAAAGCTTGAATTGTGTGGTTAAGACTTGTGCAGATGAAGGAGAAATAATGGGAACAACCCAATATAATTTCATTAAAAAGGAATGCAAAGAATCTTATTTACAGATAGAGAAAAATAAAAATGTGGAATCCATTATGAGACAGGAGAAGTATAGCTCCCTGCTCCCACAACACTATATCTAGTACTGAATACTGATGCTGTGAGAAGGAAAAGGAAGTATCTTGGTAACAAGTCATGAGAACAATAAACACTCCCTCCAGTCTTATTTAACTTTCCATTAAGAAAATATAATTTGCTCAAAAATAACTGTCCATTTAGAACTCCAATACAATAAGAAGAATAAAATGACAACATTCTCTCTTTTATATTTATATACTATACTCCGTGGTGATGCCCTTTCAGTACTATTTTACTCCATATTTGAATATGAAACTTTGAAATTTGAGAACAATTAACTTATTAAGTACTTGACTCTTGCTATCCCTTTCCCTTTTTGTGGTTTTTCATCTTCAATTAGAGATAGGGAATACAACTCCACACAAGGTAGACCTTTAGTAAAAGAATACAAGGAGCTACTTGCCACTGTATAAAGAAAGGGTTATCGGTAGAGTTAAAAATGGTACTCTTGGCAAATATTAAAAAGTTAGTACTCTCTTATAAAAGGCAATATAACCTTAATATTAAATAATAATGGAGAGAGTAATTTAACATAATTCGGTGCAAAAATGAAATTCTTTCAGCTGACAGTTCTTTATGTTTTATGGGGAAAAAAAGGATGCCCAATGAGAATCCTCCTGCAGCTATGTAGCAATTCAAATTTATTTACTCCCTCTACCCGAAATAAATTAAGTGTGTGGTTGAATCTTGTGCGGAAGACACACACACACACACACACACAGAGAGAGAGAGAGAGAGCTGTTAAGAACCACATATTTCATTTTTAAAAAGAGTAGTAGAGAAGTGCAGAAAAGGAAAAGGTGAACATAATCTTGGAATGGAGGGAGTGTTTAATTTCATACTACATATATAATATGTTATGACGGATTTAAGAAAGATAACAAACAATAAAGAAACGAAAGAACAAACACACACAGATTTAACGTGGTTCACCAACAATATGTTGGCTACGTCCACCTAACAGAGGAGAGGAGAGCTTTTACTGATTGAGGAGAGAGATTACAGAGGGGTATTCTAGGTGATTGATCTCTCTATTTGAATGCCTTACAAATGAACCTATTTATAGGAAAGATGGCAGCCAACTTGGCTGCCTAAATCCAGTGGGATCTGAGCTGTTGACAGCCCAGAATACTGCTGTCATACAGCTGGCCCACCTCACCAACTAGCAACCCACTTGCCCAATTGTCTAGGCCTCCTTCCAGCTACTTTCCAGCCAGTTTACAGCCACTTTCCAGCTGGTTTCCAGCCACTTTCCAGCTGGGTGCAGCCATTATTGACTAGTCAAATAGGTTAGAATTCAAGGCATTCCAACAAATCTCCACCTTGACTTTAATTCTCTCAGAAGGCAGCAGAAGCACCAGAAACAGATGTGCAAAGATATCAAATTTCCTCTCAAAAGTGACCAATTGTACCATAGGTACCAGAAGTCCAACCTAGGACACAGATGTACCAAAAACAAAAACATAAACAGATTGTTTCACTTGAGTTCAAAGGTGTCGCGACACACCAAAAACGGTTCCCCTCACGCCTGGAGACAGATAACTCAAGTTGAAACACCAAGAAATGCAAACTCGACCTAGAGTCCAAATGGCTCTTTATAGAACCTGAACAGAAACATATGACACTAACCTAGTGTCCCAGATGACTCCTGAAGCCCAGATTGCCCCATATTGGGGGCCCAGATCACCTCCTCCCGCGGTGCAGCACGCCTCACTAAGGCGTAGAAAGAGATGATTCTTCTAGGTGTGCAGATGGAACCTCCACCTTAACATCAAGACTTTCATCACCTCTATGAATCTCAGATGATGCACCAACAACAGAACCTGTAATAGTAGAACCCTGTAGAAAATTTAAGGTACCACTTTTAATACCTTTCAGGACCACTTTCGAACCCTTGTAGACACTCATAACTCCACCTTTACCCTGGAAACGAAAACCCTTACTATCAAGATGAGTCAAGGATATCAGATTCTTTGTCATTAGTGGAACATGTCTGACATCGTGCAATGTGCAGAATTTAGCATCATGCGTCCGAATCTTGATCGAGCCCATTCCAACCGTCTTGCAGACCGTTGGCCATAGAAATATTACCCTTGTCTATCTGCTCATAAGTTGAAAACCACTCTCTCCTTGGACATATATGGTAGGACGCCCCAGAGTCAAGAACCCACATATCAGCATGATGCATGTGTTCGTCTGCAACCAAAGCAATGTCCTCTTCGGAATTGGTGCCATCTACCGCTACCGCAACAGATTCTCCGGGATTCTGCTCCAATTGTTGGTTTCTTTTCTTCGGGCATTCATTCTTCCAATGCCCTTTCTCCTTGCAGTAGTTACATATATCATTTGCTTCCGGACCCTTGTAACCTGGCTTCTTGAATTTCTTCTTGTCCATGTCCATTGCTTCCACTGGCTATCAACCCAGCGGCCTGATTATCTGTTCCAGTTGCCTTATGGCGCAACTCCCTGGTATGAAGAGACGACCTGACCTCTTCCAGAGACACGGTATCTTTCCCAACGATGAAAGATTGTACGAAATTCTCATACGACAATGGTAGTGAAACCAACAAAATTAAGGCAGCATCTTCATCCTCTACCTTAACATCAATATTACGCAACTCCAAAAGAATTGTATTTAATTGATCCAGATGGTCTCTAAGAGGGGTACCTTCTTGCATTCGGAGACCGAACAGACGTTGCTTCAGAAGCAACTTGTTGGTTAAAGACTTTGTCATGTATAGACTTTCCAACTTCAACCATAGACCAGCGGTAGTTTCTTCATCTGCGACCTCAGTGATGACATCATCTGCAAGACACAACATGATAATCGAATGTGCCTTCTCCTCCAAAGCAGCTAACTCAGCATCGTTCGACCTGGCTTCCTTTGATAATGGTGTCCATAAGCCTTGTTGTTTCAACAAGGCTCGCATCTTGATTTGCCATAGACTAAAACTGTTCCTCCCCGTGAATTTGTCGATCTTTATGTTTAAAGCAGACATCTTTCTCACCAGATTACAAACCTCGATTACCCGAGCTCTGATACCAGTTTGTTATGACGGATGTAAGAAAGATAACAAACAATAAAGAAACGAAAGAACAAACACACACAGATTTAACGTGGTTCACCAACAATATGTTGGCTACGTCCACCTAACAGAAGAGATGAGAGCTTTTACTGATTGAGGAGAGAGATTACAGAGGGGTATTCTAGGTGATTGATCTCTCTATTTGAATGCCTTACAAATGAACCTATTTATAGGAAAGATGGCAGCCAACTTGGCTGCCTAAATCCAGTGGGATCTAAGCTGTTGACAGCCCAGAATACTGCTGTCATACAGCTGGCCCACCTCACCAACTAGCAACCCACTTGCCCAATTGTCTAGGCCTCCTTCCAGCTACTTTCCAGCCAGTTTACAGCCACTTTCCAGACAGTTTACAGCCACTTTCCAGCTGGTTTCCAGCCACTTTCCAGCTGGGTGCAACCATTGTTGACTAGTCAAATTGGTTAGAATTCAAGGCATTCCAACATAATATATGGAGCCGAACTCTAGATTCTGGCAGTTCATTAGTCAAAACCATATCTAACCAGCACGGCAATAAGGCACACATTACCCTTATTAGATCCTCAACATTATTGTTGTAAATTCTTTTAATCAAATGTTCATTCTCATAAAAAACAATCCAGCTTCAATGCAGTTTCACAAAGTTAGGACGATATAGCCAATCAAAATACTAATATTTACCAAGATCCCGAATTTCCTAAAACTAATTTGGTGCATTTTTAGAATGTTTGACCATCAAAACTGAATACTCCGTGTGTAGGACATCGAAGACCATAAAATTGTCTAACATGAAACGAAGAAATATAATGTAAGACTTATGGAATAAAAAAGGCATACTGAAAATGCAAGGAAAATGAGGCAGATGCACATAGGGAGTTGAACCTGTATTCCCATGTTTGGAAGCCAGACTTGTAGAGTAAGTAGTGAAGAGGCTCCCAGTAATTGAACGTCTCATCGCAATCGTGTATGATGTTCGTCGTAGCGCTCATGTACCTCAGCAGCCCTAGGCACACCAACGGCGCAAACCAACCAATCCCTTTATCCGCTACATCCTTCCCATCCGACTTCTCTGGCTTGTCCAGCTTCGAGTACGATGTCGATGCTGATGGATCCGTCGGCGGCGGCGGCCGTCGCTGCCGCGTTACCATCGCCATCTTAGCGTGCTCCCTCCTAGAAAGTGGTGCTGGGAGTTTTTTTTAAATAACTTAGATAACTTAGAAATACTTTTATTTTGTGTTAGTATAATGCTAATTTTTTATAGGACCATGCTACACACCCCCACCATTGCTACCAACCTTGTCTCCACCCATTTCTCCACCACATATTTATCTCCACTCATTCTCTCTCCACCCTCAAATTCTATTTTTCTTGCCTCCCTACCACATGTTTATGTAGGGGGCATGGATGGTAGCAAAAGTGGAGGATTTTTAGCATTCTCCAAAAAAGGACCATGCTACACTTACACCAAATTTTGCACCTCAAACTTACACCAAAAGTATACACCAATATTTTGATAGTTCACTGACACAAAGTATTGGTGCTTTTAACAAAAATTTTACACTCACTTAGTAGTTATAAAAAAGAAGAATGCTAAAAATCCTCCACTTTTGCTACCATCCATGCCCCCCCTACATAAACATGTGGTAGGGAGGCAAGAAAAATAGAATTTGAGGGTGGAGAGAGAATGAGTGGAGATAAATATGTGGTAGATAAATGGGTGGAGGCAAGGTTGGTAGCAATGGTGGGGGGTGTGTAGCATGGTCCTTTTTGTAAAGACTGTGAGTAACATTACGTCCATTATTCCATAAATCACCATTAAAATGTACTCTGTATATTTTTCTCATTTTGTTCTAAATTTATTCATTTTAATTACATTTAATTTTTACTTTGTATATTAGACAAATAATTTTGAAATTTTGAAAAAATAGTTACATTAGAAATAAAAATAGTAAATTCTATAATTAGTCATTTATAACACGGGAGTTTTCATATTTAGAGCCTGTTCTTTAGGGCTTGAACTCTTAACCTCCAGTTTCTTTTAGTTTCTTCTAATTTCATCCAGTTCTTCCAGTTTCTTCCAGTTCCTTCCATTTCCTTCCATTTCTTTCAACTATTCTCATTTTCTTCAAACTCTTTTTACTCCCCAACCAATTACTTTATATTTTTAATGTGATTATTATTATTATTATTATTATTACAACTATTATGTTCATAAGTATAGTTTATAAATATTATTGTTCTCATCTCACTATTTTTACGATTCACACCCATTATTTTTTTTCAACTTTTTAATATGAATAAGATAATTTTTTGTATATTAATCTACATGATAAAACAAGAAAACATCAATATGTTAAACTATATTAAAAAATTATGGATAAAATTGTGACATAAAATATTTTATTAATCTAACTTTATTTAAGGCCTCTCATCTTTCCCTTTATTACTTAAAATTTTTTCATTTTTCTAATTTTTATAAAAAAATTGAAAGTCGAAATGGTTTAGAGAAAAAGACTAAAATAGGAGTAAAACATAAAAAAATGTAAAAAAAAAAAATTTCTATGTCTTTATTCCAAAAATAGGACTTCAACGAAAATAAAATGTCAATCATGAAAGAAAAATAGGTGCAACGCAACCACAAAACTTTTTAAAATTTAATATTTTTATATTTAGGCTAACTTTATATTATAATTTTTTTTTGAAAAAGTAGTTTTTTTGTATTTGTAAAATAACAATACATTTTTTTGTATCTTAAAGGCATTTATTAAGATAACATGATGATGATACTAATAATAATAATAGTAATAATAATAATAATAATAATAATTTATAACAACAATTATTTAAAATAATTTTTTTAAAATTTTTTGAGGTTTTCCAATTTTTCTGGAATTTTTCAAGTTTAATCTACTTTTTTCCCGTTTGTTTACAGTTTACTCGGATCCAAGGTGCACATCTCCTTCTATAAATGTTATCGCACGGATTCTAGTTCAATAAACTCTATCAAAGAGAATTTAACAAGGTAACAAATCTATCCAAACTCTATGTTTAGAGCTATATATCCCATACCCTTTGTTTACAGCAGCAGACCGTTTCAGGCATCAAACCCCCTCCCAAACAAGACCTAAAGGTACACTCCATCTTGAAAAATTTACAATCAGAGCCGCAAATGTGCAGACCCGTAAAGAACTATGAACTCAATGGTGATAACGGGATATCATGATCAATATGAGGGATACCTATTGTTGAAAATATAGTGAAAGCATGTCTTGGGTGGTTTGGACATGTGAAGAGAAGTCAGTAGAGGCATGAGGTTAGATGAAAGAGTAGACCTAAAAAAACTTGGCACGAATTGGTCAATGTGGATCAATGTGTGAACGATCTCGCTACAGATAAGATACATATTAGGGTGTAATGACGTCGTTCTATCCATGTAGTTGAAAGCTTTGTTATTGTTGTGATAGAATAGTTTCATAGCTCTAAATTAGGGAGAACCAAACTACTGAGTCAACACATAGGCATTTTGAACATGCATAGTAAAGTACGGAATACGGTTTAATAACAAGTCGTGAAACTAGTATTTGGTGAATAAACTCAGAAAAAAGAAACCTTGGCAATCTTAGTATCATGAAACTAGGTTGCCAAAATGCCCCTTCGAGCAGGAAGATTACGATATCATTCCTCACAAGCATAGCTCACTTTGTCATTGAGGATTGTGTAGTTTGAGCTGCTAATATTCCTCAAGTAGCAAGAAGAATTGTCACGATAACGGTATGCTTGCTGGGTACTACCCAATCCATCGACTACCGAGTTGTCCTTTATGAGCATGGATCCGTTTCCTTTCTGTAAGTTGTTGAGAAAACTGGTGGAAGATCTGGAATTAGAAGATTCAATCAACTTCTCCTTGAATCCCAATGTTATATTTGCAACAGTAGAATATGTTTTATTTCCTTGATCTATGTCATCGGAATGCATAAACAGATTGAACTTCTTAGCAGATTGGAAGGAAGGGAAAGCAGAAGACTGCGTCTTAAAATGAACTGCATCATTGGAATGAATAGTCTGGTTTACAATCTGCATATTCCCTTGGTTCGCCATAATCATAACATTGGTATACTTGAAGTCTTGAATTGCTTCAGTACGAACCACTCCACGAGACGAATTTACCCATCCAGTCAACCTTATGGTTCGATTACCCACAGTCATGAAGGAACCATTCAAGCCTGTGAAATTTGATGCATGGGACAAAGAAATTGGCAAGCTTTTGTATTCTATGACCTGCCCTTGTGTTTTCTCACTATCGGCGTCCAGCCAAAGATGCAAGTTTGCATCAATGTACCAAACGTTGAGAGCATGAGTGACACTGAATGAAATCTGATGACTCTTCCCATCTAATACCAGCCCTAGCAAGGGAGTTATCTCAATGTCATATGTAGGGAGGTCAAATGAGCCAATTCCAGTAATGGGTCTCCACAGGAGAGGATTTACACCTCCGGTATAAATCACAGTGAAGGGCCAAACAGCTCCAACTACTTTATCATCCAGTCTGACAAGAATCTCTCTAAATGGTCCATTCCCGGGTTGATCAGTAATGTTATTCGCAGCGATGTAGTCATTAGGCAGATTACCATACCAAAACTCATCGTTTTCGTGAAACGAAACATAAACCTCCAAAACAGCCCTATAAGCATTTTGAGGGATCTCCAACTGCATCGACTCGGTGTGTGTTGAATTCTCAATCTCAAACCACAACCCGCTGTTCAGAGGAAAATTTCTTGAAACAGGAAGGATCAAATCAGCTACAGAGTCAAACCCAGAATAAGAACGAGGGTTTTTATCTTCTTCTGGGTAAAAGTGAATCTTGATTTTCACATGATAAACACCAGTATAAGTATGATCTACAATGTTGCCCATGTAAACAGCAAGAATCTGGTGATCACTCATCAGCAAAGAGTAATACCTAGTAACATCCTTGTTGACAGTCCACACAATTCCAGAAGCTCTAGGCTCGGCAGTGCAACTGCGGAGGATCTCAACCCCGCCGAGCCAGACCCCAAAAATCCGGTCAAATTGCCTGCCTTTAGAGGTGGCTTCCCATTCGAGGACAATTTTGTAGAAGTTCTGGGAAGAGCAATTGGAAGGGCGGGTGTAGTTTGCAAGAACTGGTGGCTTCCCGTAGGTACTGCCGAAATCGTGCTCCAGAACTAGGTATGAGCAAGGTTTGGTTTTTGGGATCTTTATGGGCTTAGTGACTTCAAAGTAGGTAGTGGGGATATCGTTTTGTGGGTGCTCCGGAATGAGCAGTGACCTGAGTAGCCCGGCGGAGCTGTGGCGTCTTGCGGCGGAGAAGGGAGGTTGGTTGAAAAGGGAGAGTGCTGAGATGAGGAGGACGAGGGCGGTGAAAGCCATTATTGGAGGATGCACTGCCGCCTTGGTCGGGAATCTAAATCTAGCGGGAGTACAAATTCAACAAATGGATTAATTAATACTCCGTAATAAACACTACAGTAATTCCCTTTAGTTGGTACCACTAGACTTCTTTCTCTTGACTCTTGCACCATTTATTTAAAAAAGTACTACCTCCCCTCCAAAGTGCTGGATAACTTTTGACTAATTGTAGTTTAAATTGCTAAAAACTACAGTACTTTGAAGTGTGCCTTAATCTTTCATAAATTTCAAAGTTTGACTTATGAGAAGGTGAAATTTGGCATTCTGGAAAGCACTGTTTTTTGATACATAATCTATCTCGCGTCTCTTAGTCGAGTGACTTCTTCACGGACAATCCATCGAACAATCAAAGGAAACTAGGTAGAATTAAAGAGCTATGGTCTCTTCTTCTCGCCAAAGGAAAGTATCAAAGCTACCAAAATAAGATTTGGCGAATCTCTTCGCAATTCGATGTTCTTTACAATTTGACATATAATTAAATAAAATATATATTGTATATTTACTCGATAAAATAATATTTTAAAAATATTTCACATATTAAATCTAATAAAATTATATTTATATCAATATCAAATATCATTTTTATTTAATTTAAAATCAAAATCAATTTTGACTGAACAAAGTCAAATATAGACAAATACTCAGAGAGTGATTCAAAAATAGTCTGATTATTTTTAATTTTTTACTTTTTTTTTGCAAAACACTTACAGCCCCCCTTTAATCATTTCTCCATTATATTCCATTCCCACTAATTTCTTGCAAATTTAAAGTGGGAGTTGTGCAAAAGAGATTAAATTAAAGTCGTGGTTAGTATTTTTCGACAAAATATTGCTTTCACACATATTTCCTCCGTCCCAAAAAGATCTTTACGTTTTGACTTTTATGAAATTTAAGGAAGTTATATTTTTTGTGTTGACTTTTCAAAAATACCTTTAATATGATGAGTAAAAGTAGGATGTGATGTATATATTACTAATAAAAAGATGGAAAATTCTACTTGTAACTCATGTTTGTATCTCATATTGTACCTCAAGGCTTTGTCCTGACATTAAATAGAAGTACAAAACTGGCATTATGTCAGTGTTGCACTTACATTTTATTTCAGAGTAAACCTTTGGGATACAAAATGAGGTACAAAGTGGGGTGAGAGTAGCATGCTCCTAAAAAGATATGGTATGATAGGGATGTTAAGAATAAGTAGGAATAAAAGTTGTTTTTTAATAAAAATTGGGAAAATTTTGTGGGACAAGTAAAAAAAAGGAATGAGATTTTGGAACGGAGGAAGTATTTTTTAACAATTTCACGGTGAAGGACCGGGGTGAAATTGATGGGTCCCGGGAGTTTAGGGGTGAGTTAGGAGATAGGAAGTATCAAATTGCTCCAAAACTATTGATGTCAACTTCTCATCTTTAAATATATGCCCTTTTCCTGGAAAAGATTGTTTCTCTAGAAATGAATAAAAATTACTCCGTACTTGCTAAAAGGAGTATTGAAAATCGTGGATCATGACAATAGAAATTAGAACTCTTGTTATGATGGTCTTGGCTCGAAAAATGTCTCCCTTATTTGAAAAATTGGCACTAATACCATATTCTTTTTCAAAACTTATTTTTAAAATTCACGTGGCCCTTGGTTTATTTTTATATTTGAAATGAAAATAAAAATAAAAAATAATATATACTCTATCTATCTCAAATTAAATATTTTCAAATTTTTTATTTTCTAGAATGAATTTTTTTGGGAAGTTAAAAACACATAATCTGGAATAAAAAATAAAAATAGTAATATGCAAAAACAAAATGAAAAAATTGAAACATACAAAAAATATTGTTACACAAAAAAGAATTTTCGAAACGTCTAAAAAAGTCTTTAAGATTATTTTCCGTCCAAAAAGAATATTTTTTTTAGTTTTTTCTTTTATTTTATTTTTTATTTTAATCTTCATTTTTTGAATTTTGCCGTAAAAAGTTTTTATTTTTAATTTTTGAAAAAACATAAAAAAAAATTAATTTGAGATTAACACGTGCAGTATATGTTAATAACTCTGCTTTTTCCTTCCAACAAAAATAATATAAAATTTTAATAACCTTATTAAAAACAATTTTTAAAAATTTAAAAACCTTAAAAAACAAAATAAACAAATAGTGAAAAAAGGAAAAAATAACTAAAAATAAATGGGAAAAAAGAAAAGAGTAACAGTGCCCCTATGATTTGGAAGATAAGCAGCAATGCCTCCTCTTTGCCGAAAAAATGTCCGAAAAATAATTAGAGGGGTGCATTTACAACATTTTGAAACTATAGAGATTTTAGAAATAAGTTTTGAAAATAAAGTGGATATTGGTGTCCTTTTTCAAATCACAGACGGTACTCGAAACATTTAGTCGATCTTTAAATTTATGCCCCTTTTTTATGAAAAGATTGTATCTCTAAAAAATAAAAATGAAGAAAATATTGCTTGCTAAAATATTGAAAATTGTCGAACATGGCAATAGAAAATAGAACTCTTGCTATGATAGTATGATGGTCTTGGCTGGAAAAACATTTTAGTGTATCAAAAAAGATTGTTAAGGTTAGTTTTATTTTCTCATTTCAATATTGCTTTGGTTGTAGTTTCACTTATATCCTTATATATATATATATATTTTAATTGCTGTAGACTTTTGAAAAATAATGTTCAGTCTAATTCATTCCATGAACATCGAATATATACAAACATAAACAGGCCAATGGGCCAAGTAAACGGGCCTCTACATATTAACACACTAATTTGGCAATTTTCAATTCGCAACTATGGTGCAGAATGTTCTCTATCTGACTACGTTCTAATATTTGAGTTTCTAACTAATGAATATCTTGCATCTTGATTCTCCTTTTTTGTTTCAATTTTAGATTCAAAAAAGGTAAAAGCATAGAGTACAAAAGTGAACCGATCAAAGTTTGATTGTTTTTGTTCCCAAGTTAGGGTGTTATTTACAATTACTTTTGAGTTTTCACAGGGATTGAAGCTGAGAAGATATTTTACATGCATAAATACATGTTTCTCTTGAAGTTAAATCATGGAAGATGAAGGATTTGGACCTCATTCATACTCACTTATTTAAAAGGAATGAAGATGAACATGATGTTCATCAATTCTCTGTATTTGTTTAAGTTTTGATGTATATCTATGAAGTTTGTAACATATTATAAAGGATAATGAAGAAATACTTCACAATTTATAAATTTTTTTTATTATAATTTCCTTATACGCGTAAGATTCTTGTTTTTTCAAAGTAAAACATACATACCGTTACAAATCCGGATTCCATTGCAAATTTACCTACATGTAATATCCAAATATACTTTTTGATGACAACCCCACCAAGAAAGACGTGAAAAAAATAAATTATACGGATGTGCTCTGTATGCCAAAAGGATTCGGGCCTACTTTTGATGACAACCCCACAAAAAAAAAGCATTTGTGGGTTTGATTTTACTTGAATTTATTTTAGTGTTGATATAACCACGACACCTCATAAAATTTGTTTCTTTCATTCATTTGTAGTTGCATTCATGGTGTCACAAGTGAAGATGAAACTACATAGCGAGGCTCATTATCTACCACTGACATCAGTATCCACACATTCATTATAAACTATTAGCTAAATGAAAATGGTTGAAGTATGCATTAGACAGAAGTGTTAGAGTTTTTTGTCATAACGTAACCATACCTATTCGAATAGTACTACAATTATAGAACTATGGTGATGTACCTATTGTCTCAACAAGAATGGTTTTCAGTTAACAGACAAATGTTGGTATTCAATTGAGGTGATGGTTTCTGTCCTGTTGACTAATAGACAGTACGTTCTGAATGTGTCAAACTATAACCTAAATATTAAGAAGGTTAAAAGTATGAAACTTTTCAATATTATAGAAAAGTGAATAGTTAAATCCAAGAGTTTGATGACAATCATAAAGAGCTTAGGATCCAATCATTGTTCACTCCTCTCGGTACGCCTTGGTAGGCATGGCATGGTGTAATGTCAAACTTTGGTTCGTTGATTTATGCTAAGTCATAAAACTCTACTATAAACGTTCTAGGAATACACACTTTGTTGGCCATGTGTGCAGCAATTGTCCCGTGGCGGAGGCTATGTGGGCCAAGTCACAATCAAATGTCGTGGGCGCTTGTGTGATGAATGCACTATAAGGCTAGGGTATGCGCCTCTTCTAATACCAATTGGTTTTAGAAGAGTTGGTAGCGCCTGAGGTCCTACAAGTTGTATCAGAGCCAAGGTCACGAGTTCGATTCCCAGCGGGAGCAATTGCTGAGGGGGAGATTGTTGGCCATGTGTGCAGCAATTGTCCCATGGCGGAGGCTATGTGGGCCAAGTCACAATCGAATGTCGTGGGCGCTTGTGTGATGAATGCACTATAAGGCTAGGGTATGCGCCTCTTCTAACACCAATTGATTTTAGAAGAGTTGGTAGCACCTGAGGTCCTACACACTTTTCATTAGACCTGGCAATCGGGTCAATCGGTTCGGTTCCGGGTCGGGTCTTTTCGGTTCGGGTCTCTTTCGGATATATGTTATAATCGGTTCGGATCGGGTCAGTTCGGTTCCGGGTTTATTTTGGTTTGACTGGTTTTCGGTTTCGGTTCGGTTTCGGTTCGGGTTTATATCGGTTCGGGTTTGTATCGGTTCGGGTTTGTATCGGTTCGGGTTTGTATCAGTTCGGGTTTGTATTGATTTGAGTTTATATCGGTTTAAATTTATATTAGTTTAAATATAATGTAAACACATACTAATAAATGAATAATATCACATAACAAATCTAGTTAATTTATGACATACTTCGTAGTTATTTTACTCCGTATTATTTAAGACGGACGTACATAAAAAATAAACACTTATATAATTGACTAATTGTTTACATTCTAAAGTTTTCCCTCTTAAAGTTTTCGGCGCAACCTTTGTAGTTAATATTTTACTTCGACTTCCTAAATTTCTATTTAACTATCCATTTCATTTTGTGTTTCAAATATTAGAATAACTATATATAAAAATAATTCTTCCTCAGCCGCCGAGTATTCGTTTACTTTTGACTTTTTTGGTCAAAATTAGTAAATTTTGACTTTAAACTAAATAAAAATGATATTAGATACTTATACAAAAAGAGTTTTATTAGATTTATTATATCGAATATTTTTAAAATATTATA